ACACATTTAAATATTATAAATTTAAAGTTCTTATCGAATATTATTACACTGTGGAACATTTTCGGGGTCATTGTCTGGGGGGTGAGAAATTTCAAGTCGAGATGAAAGTACTTAGCCAGTATAGTAAAACCTCCAAAGGGTTTGGCGTTCTCAGGCCAAACTTTTTTTTATGACCTTTTATATTTCTTTCCTTATTTTGATGTTTGTTTGCTTAGTTTTTCACTTATAACTCAAGAATCATTGATGATTTCTCATTTCATTCTTCAGCAAAGACTAAGGCTTAAATAAATAATTTTCATTAATATATCCATGTAAAAAATTAAGTTGGACTAATTTTATCGACTGAAATCTTCAAAAAATTATCAAATTTCGAAAAAAAAAATTCTATTTGAAAAATAACGTTTTTACTTGAGCGTTCTAGGAATTGCAACTATAAAAGAATATTCTAATATAAGTATATAGTAATATAGTAGTACTATATTAGAGAGAGAGAACAATATTTATTTGGAAAATTAACAAAAATTAAGGACAAATTTAGTTTAAAGAAGAACAAAGATTATATGTTCATAAACAATGCTCTAGAGTCTAGGCCTTTTCAATGGTGATTGTTGTGGGCTAGTGTCATCGCTATCGCAATCATCGTTGTCTGTTTCTAAGCCACACATAATGTCAACTTGTGACTCCATTGCTGACCCTACTGCAACTTCTGGAAATTCTTCATCATCAGGATAATCCATGTCTTCCAAGACATGTCTACTTCACCAGCAAATTTCCGCAAGTATTGCACTCGGCGACAGTTTTCCTCTGTATCTATGATTTGTTTTTTTATTAAAATGAGTTTGAAAAAAATCTCATAGATATTACCTAATTTCAAATGGCATAGCAACTTGATGGCGTTCGCCTTGTTCATCAGATTCAGTGGCCAATTGTCTGCTGAAGTAGTCCAGATGACGATGTAAATAGTGAATTTTCAAGGACATGTGGACGCCAATTTTCGAGAACGATGTTAACATCCTTGCGACAGAAACATTGTAGTTGCTAGAACGATGCTTTCCCAACAAGCCTTCTATTACTTCTTTAATTGCATTCCAAGCATCCGTATTTCACATTTTATATGGACATAAACATTCAATTTAACGCGAAAAATGGAAGTGTGCAAGCCAGGTATAAATTGCTTTTGCTATTGCTGTAGTAAATATGTACCAAAACATGAAAAAAAGGGAAATTTCAATGCATATTTTGTTCAAACATACGAGGTGTACTTCCACCAAAATGTTATAGTGAACAAAAATTGGGTTCCCAATATAGTGTGTAAAACTTGTTACAATCGTCTAATGGATTGGAAAAATAGAAGACGTGAATCTATGCCATTCGGTATTCCAATGATTTGGACTAATCCTGGTGACGGTCACAATGCATTGAATTGCTACGCATGTGCCAATAAAGGAGCCGCATTAAGAAAAACGGCAAGAAAATCGTATCATTACGTTGGTGTTGCAAGTGGCCAAAGACCATTGCCATATTCGGGCTACATTCCCCAAACTGCTTCAGCCCAGATCTATCTTCTGTGACTGCTCCGATTTTTACATCAATATATGATTCAAGTGATGATCCCCCATATGATCCCGAACCATCTGTATCCAATCAGCCTATATTAATAAATCAAAATCAGCTTGATTCCATTGTTGCTAAATTAGAATTAACACAGCATAAATCAGAACAGCTGGCTTCGTTTTTGAAATCAAACAATTTTTTGGCACCCGGTACGAAAGTCACAGCTTATCGAAGTCGTCAGGCAACACTCCAAAGTTTATTTGTTGTGAATGATGAAAAACTTCTGCATATTGCTCGGATGTAGGAAAATTGATGGACGCAATGGAAATAAAATATGAAGCAGATGACTGGAGATTATTTATTGATAGTTCAAAACTCAGCTTAAAAGCGGTTTTGCTGCATAAGACCAATGAAAAACCTTCGGTTCCAATAGCGTATAGTAGAGAAACGAAAAAAACATATGATGCTCTAAACATATATTATGTGGCGCATATGCTGCGATTTAAAAGTTGTAGCATTGCTTTGCGATCTTCGAAGCGGCTATATAAAATGTATATGCTTTTTGTGCGATTGGGACACAAGATTTACCGGAGACCAATATGCATGCCACGAATGGAAGCATAAAGAGCACAACAGGTTAGAAGTGGCCAATATTATTCGTGAACCTCTGGTGCCGAAAGAGAAGATATTGCTGCCTCCACTGCACATTAAACTTGGGAACGCAATTAAAAAGGTAATAGAAGGCTTGTTGGGAAAGCATCGTTCTAGCAAGTACGATGTTTCTGTCGCAAGCATGTTAATTAACATCGTTCTCGAAAATTAGCGTCCACATGTCCTTGAAAATTCACTATTTACATCATCATCTGGACTACTTCAGCAGACAATTGGCCACTGAATCTGATGAACAAGGCGAACGCTACCATCAAGTTGCTATGCCATTTGAAATTAGGTAAAATCTATGAGATTTTTTTTCAAACTCATTTTAATAAAAAAACAAATCACAGATACAGATGAAAACTGTCGCCGAGTGCAATACTTGCGGAAATTTGCTGGTGAAGTAGACATGTCTTCGAAGACACGGATTATCCTGATGATGAAGAATTTCCAGAAGTTGCAGTAGGGTCAGCAATGGAGTCACATGTTGACATGATGTGTGGCTTAGGAACTAATGACAGCGATGGTTGTGATAGCGATGACACTAGCCCAGAACAATCACCATCGAAAAGGCCTAAAATCTAGAGCAATGTTTATGAATTTTATTCTTCTTTAAACTAAGTTTGGCTTTAATTTTTATTAATTTTCATAAAATCAATACTCTTTGGGCAGGAATACTCAGGTCTCAGGTCTCCCTTTTGGACTTATCTTATATTTGTTTTATATATGTATTTTTTTTTATTTATTCGTATTTGTTATAGTTATTATTTTTATATTCCAAATAAATATTGTTCTCTCTCTAATATAGTACTACTATATTACTATATACTTATATTAGAATACTCTTTTATAGTTAAAATTCTAGAGAATTTTTTTTTTTTTTGAAATTTGACAATTTTTTGAAGATTCAGTCGATAAAATTATTCTAACTTAATTTTTTACATGGATATATTAATGAAAATTATTTATTTAAGCCTTAGCTAAGCCTTAATCTTTGCTGAAGAATGAAATGAGAAATCATCAATGATTCTTGCGTTATAACTGAAAAACTAAGCAAACAAACATCAAGATAAGGAAAGAAATATAAAAGTTCATAAAAAAAAAGTTTGGCCTGGGAACGTCAAACCCTTTGGAGGTTTTACTATATTGACCTAGTACTTTCACTCTGACTTAAAATTTTTCACCCCCCAGAATGGCTGTTGCACTGTGTTATTAACACAACGAATGATTTCGTCATTGTAATGAATAAAATACGTCGCCAGATTCGTATTGTTAATGATTATGTATATTAATTTTTCTTCAATATATACACTAAAGTGATGTATTTGTTTATTGGTCAATAAACGTGTACATTAACACCACGAATTTGTGTTATTGATTTTTGTTATTAGCGTAATGAAAAGTTTCATTGCTGTAATGATTAAATACTACGCCTAAATTAAAAAAGTTAAGTCAAATTTTGCCATCTTATTATCTAACGTTTTCCTGCGATATCAAATTTATCAAGATTCTTCAAATTAGCATAAAGTTAACGCGACGAAAGTTTCCTCCTAAAAAGGCACCGCTAATGGTTAAAAGCAATCAGTGATGAAGAGGTGTGGAGATTGCGGTGTATTCTTAAAGGTTTTAGATGTGCGTCTTAAAAGATGAAAAGTAGACGAGGAAGTTTGTTTTGCCAACACCAATTAACTCGTGAATATTAAACCCATTACCGCTGCCCGGAGGAGTGGTAGACGCGTTAATTATTAGTATAAATAGCAGTTCTTTACTGGTACGGTAACAGCTGGCCAAGACACCGAGAGTCTTCTTTCTTATGAAATGTTGTAGGCCTACAAAAAAAAATGCTAAGATCATCTTCACGCTTGCTCATACATACTTCACGTACCTATGTATTTATTGTAATGTAATGCAATTAGAGCTCACGGTGCCAGTAAATTAACTCAAGACGCCTAGAAGCCGTCGGTTACGGTCCGTGAGTTTACGATATCAGCTGCTTCTTTAGCTCTTTCTTCTGCCGCTATACTGGTTAGAAGCTGCTGTTTAAACTCTGGCGTAGCGGCTTACCGTTCTTCTCATCTATTCGCAACATCTGCCAGGTTTCGCGTTTATTACGTCATTCAACTGAAAGGTTTATGCCGTTGATGTACCCTCAAAGTCCCTAGGCGTCAAACATCATCTTGCATCATTTCGCATTTCATCTTTTGATGGCCTTCGCAGCTGAAGCGGGAACGTTAAAGATCGTCGCATAGCAGCAGGTCTTCGGTCCCTATTGTGAAATTGGACAAAATAAAAAGTACAAGAAACATCCCGGAACTCTCATTAAATGACCCTCCGTTAAAAGTCCTCTTCATTGTATTTACAGAGATGGATTCAGACATAATACTTAATCATTTTTGCTTCTTTTATCTTTTATAATGAATTTTTCAAACAAAATTAATCTTCACAAAAACCAAGTAAAAATATATAAGGATTAAGTAATAAAATGATGGATGTATTTTTGATTGTAAGTCATATTGATTGCAAACTATTTTGCAATCAATTAAGGATTAATTTTGAAATCAAATTTTCGCGCTTCAATTTAATGTTAATACGCAATAACAGATGGCGCCATTAAATTTAAATAAACTAGATTTTAATTAAATTTAAAGTATTAAATAAATAGATATAAATAATTTTATATAAGATTTAACTTTTTAACACAATTTTTTGGTTTAAAACTATTTTCATTTATTACAAAAGAGCACTATTTGATTTGAAGTAACCTTCAAATTGAATTGACTAAAATCAATCAAAAGATGTCGCCACAGTAACAAGCCGGTATAAAATTCAACTAACTTCATTTCTATTATTTCCAATAATTAATCATCCAAAATTGACGAAGTACGCTGGATATCTAGCTATGGATGATTTTGAATGGACGGTCTTCCATGAGGGGCAACTTCTAGACGCAATGGTAGGACATAAGCCGGTTGGTGAGTACAAAAAAAATTTTGGCAACTTGACATAACCTCACTTTTTTCCTGGAAAAAAGGGGTAAATAAATACTTTCAAATGGCGTTCATTTGCGATAAATTCATCGATAATATAAATAAGGAGGTGCATTCAGGGAAAATATGGGCCCATTTAGAAACTATGTATAATTTGGAAGCTCTCGATGAAAGTGAATCATTACCATTTCCAAATGATGAAAAGGAATTTTGTCTTCCTGAGGCGGAATACGGGACGTTAAAAGCTAAAAAAGAAGAAAAAGGCGATGATAAGAAAAATGTTAAAGGTCGGGAAACCCCGAAAAACATGAAAGAAATGAAAAAAGAGGAAAAAACGTTGGTTAGAACAATTAAGGACATTCGAGAAAGACGAGATAGTAGGGATAGTAAAGATGGAAAACCTTTAAGTGCAAAAAAAGATAATAAAAAAGAAGTTGTTGAAAAAGGTAAAATCAAATTAAGAAATTCTATCCAAAATGTAAAAGAAGAAAATAAAAGTCTTAAAAATATTAAAGAAGAAACTCCTAGAGCTGTCAAAAGGCCTTTACGTGGTAGTCTTAAAGACGATTCGAATAGTAATGGAAAATCATCTCCAGTTAATGTTACTCCAACGAGTACAAAGCGACGCAGGGTAAATTAAAAACAAATTTGGCACAATCACATTAATTTAAAATGAAAATCAGTGGAAGATTGCACTTATTGCAGACCAAATGTAGCCATTAAGTGAAAATTATATAGAACCTTTGTACATAATATACATAATAATTAAGCAATTAAATAAATATAGTTGTTAAGTAATTCGAAGATATTTTTTTAATTTCAAAAAAATGTAGATTTGTAGATATGAAAACAAAAAGTTTGATAAAACGAAATTTAATCTATTTTTACTGTAATTCGAACTGCATAAGAACTGATAAAAGAAATATGAGAGCTTTTAAAATGTTGTATTATTCATTTCGTGATAATTAACAATTAGATTAAGTTTATCGAATTGTGTATAAAAAGAGGACGTACTGAATGATTTAATAAATACTCTAAGAAGTTGTGTTTTCATTTTTATTTCACAATTTTTAAATGAATTTTTTGAAGCTATTAAACAAAATTTGTAATAAATTTAATAAACCTTTATCTGGGACATAAATGTAGTTAGAAATACAAATCAGATGTGTTATGAGACTTCAATAATTATCTGTCAGAAAAATAGTTTATTAGAGTTCATTATGGTTAGGTGGTTAAGTATTATACTAATTAAAAATAACAATTTCATGTCGAATTATTTCTAAAAAATGTATCTGAATAACGTTTCCAAATTCTGGGATTAGAATCAGAGGCGGCGCTACCGGGGGGTGCAAGGGGTGCACTGCACCCGGGCGCCGCTTAAAAGGGGGCGCCGGCGCCTTTTTAGTGTTTTCTCCAACAATGTCGTATCTTTCTTTTGCATTATTTAGACCTGTCAGCGGTAGCTAGTCTTCAGAAAGCAGTATTTAGTCTCCATAAAGCAATTTTAGTCTTTAGAAAGCAGTATTTAGTGTTCCAGACGCTGTATTTAGACCTGTCGGCAGTATCTAGTCTTCAGAAAGCAGTATTTAGTCTTCTAGAAGCAGTATCTAGTCTTCTGCCAAAGTTATGTATGTTTTCTCCAAAATATTTTATCTTTCTTTTGCAGTATTTAGACCTGTCAGCAGTATCTAGTCTTCAGAAAGCAGTATTTAGTCTCCACAAAGCAATTTTAGTCTTTAGAAAGCAGTATTTAGTGTTCCAGACGCTGTATTTAGACCTGTCGGCAGTATCTAGTCTTCAGAAAGCAGTATTTAGTCTTCTAGAAGCAGTATCTAGTCTTCTGCCAAAGTTATGTATGTTTTCTCCAAAATATTTTATCTTTCTTTTGCAGTATTTAGACCTGTCAGCAGTATCTAGTCTTCAGAAAGCAGTATTTAGTCTCCACAAAGCAATTTTAGTCTTTAGAAAGCAGTATTTAGTGTTCCAGACGCTGTATTTAGACCTGTCGGCAGTATCTAGTCTTCAGAAAGCAGTATTTAGTCTTCTAGAAGCAGTATCTAGTCTTCTGCCAAAGTTATGTATGTTTTCTCCAAAATATTTTATCTTTCTTTTGCAGTATTTAGACCTGTCAGCAGTATCTAGTCTTCAGAAAGCAGTATTTAGTCTCCACAAAGCAATTTTAGTCTTTAGAAAGCAGTATTTAGTGTTCCAGACGCTGTATTTAGACCTGTCGGCAGTATCTAGTCTTCAGAAAGCAGTATTTAGTCTTCTAGAAGCAGTATCTAGTCTTCTGCCAAAGTTATGTATGTTTTCTCCAAAATATTTTATCTTTCTTTTGCAGTATTTAGACCTGTCAGCAGTATCTAGTCTTCAGAAAGCAGTATTTAGTCTCCACAAAGCAATTTTAGTCTTTAGAAAGCAGTATTTAGTGTTCCAGATGCTGTATTTAGACCTGTCGGCAGTATCTAGTCTTCAGAAAGCAGTATTTAATCTTCCAGAGCAGTATCTAGTCTTCAGAAAGCAGTATTTAGTTTTTTAGAAGCAGTCACTCCGGTTCCCGCACCCTGGCTACGTGCTAATAAAGCCCCTGGGGCGAGTTATAAGGGTTGGAAATCGGGGCGAAATACGGGTGTATCTGAATGACTGCAACAAACTTCAAGGGGTGATTCTTTAGTGAATTTTAAGGGTACTTTGATATATGAACCATGGGCGACTTCGGCTCCCCTAAGGAGCTACACCCCTCCAAAAATGGCGGAAAAGTTTGGTTTAATTTTTTTCTCTCAAAAACCATAAACGCTAGGAAAATAAAATTTGGGGAATATGTTTAACTCATAATTGGGCACGTTTTGACCCTATTTGAACTTTCAACCTACCCTTATAAACTACTAAACGTAACCACCCCCTTTAAATTTTTGCAAATTTTTTTTTAATGCAGATGATAAATACATTAGAAAATTTTTACATAGGTAGATGAAAGTATCCTAAAACTTTTTTGTCTCTCTAAAATTTTTCCAAAAACGACTAATTTTTGAGAAAAAAAATAATAAAGCAAACGCTGCCCGTTAAACAACGGGGTTGTCGATCAAAAGATGGAATTAATTTTTAATGAAAAAGTCTTAGTAGGCTTTGCAATCTTTGTCAGAAATATTTTTGACGTTTAAATGTCAATTTTTCTCACTATTATTATTGTTTTTCTAATTAATTTTTGACTAAAGTTCTATCGCATACCATCTTGTTGACACCACATTTTGTAGTTCGTAGATATTGACTGGCACATCTTTTAACAAATTTAAGAGAAAATAAAAAGTAAATACAGATAACATACAAAAGTAAAATTTTTTTAAATAACGTGTTTTTTGCAGAAAAACAGGCAATAATAACATTTTGGAAACTTGACTAAATAGGCCATCTTTTAAAATTACTTGCCAAGGGTGTTGTACTACTCCTTTTTTTAGAAATCGTGTGTCAAATTTGATAGACATAAATTCTTTCTATGATTAAAATTAAGTACGTCATCCATTTTACCAGTATTATCCTTAAGAAGGTTTGAAATTAAATGTGATACTTCTGTACTTTTAACTGGTCATTTATTAAATTTTATTTATCTGACTAGTTTCGGTTTAAAAACCATCTTCAGAGATAAAAGTCAAAAATTTAAGAAACCAACATTGTAATCAACCTCAACTTCATAATGCTGCGGCGTTCTGTTGTGGCAGAAGTTTACGACAAACTCCATTTAAACATTTTGCCGAAACTTCATCCCAAGCCGACATTACATTATTAATGCATTTTAAAATATCGAAAGACTTGTTTGAATAGCCTCTAACTATTTTATCTGAAGTGTCCACAACATCTTTGACAGCCAATGGTGTTTTGATTTCGTCCAGGTTTTGAGGATGTCCTGAAGCATTGTCCAAGAGAAGAATTGCCTTGGGTGTTAATTTATTTTAAACCAACTACATTGAACAAGGAAAATCGGTCTAGTATAGGAGGAAAGACCGATCGAGACATCGGGGATTTACACAGCAAGTTGCGTAGCGGCGTAATTATGAAACTATCTTATGTTCTGTTTATCAATAAAGCGAACTACCAGCGTTCATATAATTCATCAACAACTATTATATTGTATTTACTTTATTAACCAACAGTGTACACGACTATTATAATTTTTATACAAGTACAAACAAGCGACATGCAAGCGTCTCTCTTATTATTGTCTTGGCGGGAACGTGCCAGCAACATGAAGTTGTTCCGATACCAACATAAATAACAATAATGTTACTACATTATATAACAAAACTATGTAAATTGAGTCGACGTTAACCGAGGGCTACCTGTACCGACCATTCAAATCCCAAAAACTACCGCTCCATTACCCTTCTCCCCGTAATCAGATATACGAATGTATAATCAACGCAAGAATCCTAAACATCGTAGATTCAAAAATCCCCACATACTAATTCAAGTTCAAACCGCAAAACAGCACACTTACAAAATAAAGGCACAGCAACAGTCTTCTTGGACATCAATTTACAAAATGAATCTTCTAAACGGGTTTACATTTAGAAGAAGATTCTAGAGACTATGGACCTACATTTGTAGGCCTTATTAGCCGAATAATCATCCATATTCTCTCTGAATCTTCTACATGTAAACCCATATCTGATAAGAATGACGACCGACTTTTTAAATAAACAACAATTATGTATAAAAATCAACAATACTTATTCTAACCGGTTTTCTCCATTACAAGGCGTTCCTCAAGGCTCTCCTCTATCAGCAACTCCATAGAATATTTACTGTTTCGACATTTTCTCTCCAAACCGTTCCCTATTCGACCCATATTGATATATTCTACAATACGCAGACAGAACTATAGCAGATATGTGCTTATCTAGAAACAACTACAAAAATCCCGGACAGAAGACTACACTATTAGAAAAGCTTACTATCCTTGCAAAAAGTCAAGGCCTCTCACTTTAGAGATCGATATCTTCGTAACCGCTCGAGGAAAAAAATTGCGATAATGTTTATTGTAATCAGTGAACATTTCTGCGTATCACATGTTAATTTGGAAATTTTCGGGTTCGCGGTTTTTCTTTTATCGCGAGTTAAGTGAAAAAGGTACCCGATTTTTGAGAATGGACAAAGTTGCTGGCACTTTATCCATTTTGCGATCTTTTTTTTCAAAACTTTTTTGCCAAAAAATTTCAAATTTGAACTGGTGGTAGCAAGATGTGTTCTTAATGAGGAGCATTTTTATTTTTTTGATATTCAATTCAGTTTAAAACGATTGATTGCAAAAAAAACTTCATATCGCCCTATTACTGCCAAAATTCACTAACTGACATTTTTAAGAACATCGGTATAACTTAACCACTAACTGCATTTTGAACTGGAGTATCTATGGGAAAAATAATTAACTACGATAACGTACTAAATAAGCCTATTTCGTGCAGTTAATAGCCACTAATTGTAAGTGAAATTCTTGAAAATTATTTTAAAAGCAAAACTAATCAATTGAGTTAGTGAGCTTAAGACAAGTTTCGTAGTTATTGAGTAAATCGTAAATGCAAAAATTCACTAACACTTAGTGAGTTTTAGCTTTTACACGAAATAGATTAGTTACATTTTGTTTATATACCAGTTAGAGATTTTGCCTTCATCAGTTAACCTCGTGGTGTAGATTTTCAGCAAGTATTTTGTGAATTAAACGTAGTGTTAGACTTTAAAATGTACAACTAGTTAATTAAATGTTTCAAGTGTGTAAACATGCTCGGAAATAATGGATTTAGAGGACAGCGAAGACAAACAAAAATCAACTTCGAAATCAGCATTTTTGTCTGTTACTTTTGATTTACAGAAAGTTCTTCAGATTACTTCCGCTAGCGAATCACTTCTCTATTATTCCCGAAAATTATGCATGTCCAAGTTTACAATTTATGAGTCAAAGCCTCCCAACGATGCACACTGTGTGGTATGGTCAGAATTAAACGGTAAAAGGGGCAGTAGTGAAATTGGAACTTCGATGCACAATAGTGCATT